TCGTAGTCCCTTGTCAAGAGCTGCACCCGCCAAAAAAAGATTGAAACTTAGCTCTGGTATGTGAAAAACATTACTGAGGTACTTTCGCACTCTTTTCCATTAAAAGCAAGAATGTCGATATCTCCTGATCCAATTGCTTCAATATATTTTCCATCACCTATCTTAATATTCTCTACTGTGTCAAATTTTTTATATGACGAAAACCATTCGCGACGATTTGACATGTGCTCAGTCGCACCTGAATCCATGTGCCATGCATCATTGGATGTTTCTAAATTATATTCTGCAGACGTGGCTCCAATGAGTGCTTTTTCTTTCCTTCCTTTGTATTTTTCGTTTGCTGCTTTTCGGTTTCTACATTCCTTGATCCAATGCCCTGGTTTGTGGCAATAATGACATACGCCTGGTTTAACGTTGCCTTTTTTGAAATTTTTCTTATATTGATGTTTATTGGCAGTAAAAACAATGTTCTCTGCTTTTTCTTCGGTTCCCATTCTTGTTTCCTCAATGGTGAGCCTTGAAATAAGATTTGTGAGAGTTCTTTCGTTGGGTTGAGTTGATTCCCACGCACTAATAAAATATTTGAATGATGGAGGTAATGTCATGAGTATTTTAGTAATAATCATTTGATTTGGAATTTTCTCACCCAAAGTTTGTAGCCGATGTGCAAGATTCTCGATTTTTATGATGTGAGTAGCGACATCATCGCTCGATTCCTTCTGGTAATTGTACCATTGCTGCAACAGCAAGTACTAGTATCAGATTTTTGTTCGTAAACAGATTCCAGCTTTTTCCACATATCCTTAACCGATTCACAATTAATAATATGCAAAAGTAGTTTTTCATCCACTGATGTGGCGATTATGCGTTGAGCTGTACTGTCGAGTTTTGTCCAGGCAGCGCGTGCTCGATTTGCCGCATCATCTCCTGGTACAGGAAGAATTGATTCACCTGTGACTATTTCCCATGCACCGCAGGATTTCAAAGTAACGCGCACTTGAAATTTTCCAATCCTTTCAGCTTATTAATACGAACAGTTTCGTACTCCATCACGATTAAGGTTATATTTCACGTTTGCTCAAGGCCGGATAACAAACCTACGTACTTTTTCAATTTAATTGTACTTTACTTAATTATTTATTGTTTCTTTCGTAATCTGGGCCCGTAACCTGTTGACTGGGCAGTGGAAAACAATAAATAAAATGTACGAGTTGAATGAATATATTTAATTATATTGCGCGTATCTGTTTTCAAAACATTTGAAGTATATGTATCGAAGAAAAACAAATAGATATCAACTATGAAATAATGATATTGCTGGCGACATTCAATAATAAAACTACATATAAAATTTCA